CAGATAGTTGGCAATAGAGATCATGGTGGTATTCCCAGACTGGAAAGGGAGGGTTGAGGGAAGAGTAGATGTCTTTGGCATGAAGTCATCTGCCCAGGAAAGGAGCATTAGAGAACCCAATGCGGAGTATGCAGACCTGGCAGACAGCAGTTCAAAGGCGGGAAGTGCTGGAGAAGAACAGTTAGAAACGCAGCAGAGATTTGGAGGGAGTGGAGCTGCCATGTCTCCTAAGAGACCTCCAAAAGGTCTCTATGGACACCCTGCCCGAGTGGGGCAATGGTACAGCAAGAGGCAGGGTAAACAGTTAAACTGTGGGGGCCGGGGGAGGGACAGAAAAGAAATTTGAACAAGAAACAGTGGACAGGAAGGGACTCATGTAAGAAGACCTAGGAGTTCAGGTGAGAGAATTAGAGGATCACCAGGCTTGTTTCCCATGTTTTTAGACAATTAAAACTAAGTAAGGTAAAGAGGTTTACCATAGGCCACATAGCTAATTACAGCCTGGAGTCTGCTGATCATAGCCCAATGTTCCTCCTGCTGTATCATACTGCTCCTGAGGTATCCGTGAGGTTAGAGGCTCTGCTGACCTCTGGATTCTACAAGCACTTAGCACAGCACCTCTGCTGCCGAGGCTTTAGCTTGATAGCCAGTGCTGTGGGCAGTGACCTTTTCCAAAAGATCTCGTGTCTTTTCCTCTCTCGTAGTACATTTTGGTAGGTAGGTCCTGGAGCCAATCTGTCTGGGTTTTAATCTTGGTTTTGCCACTTACTTGCTCTGTGATCTTGGGCACCGAGATGCAACTTTCCTCATCTGTAGAATGAGATGCAATTAGTACTTAGACCACATGGTTATAGGGAAACTTGAATGAGTTCAGACATGCATGGTACAGTCTAAATACTCTATAAACATTTGCCACCTGTATTTTTTTTAACCTTTAATGATATGTTATTCTTGGAATTAAAAACATAAGTTCTTCAGCAAGCTGGCCCTTCTTTCTTCCCTTCTGTGGTACACATTGCGGCTGCAACTATTAACATAAAGTTAATAGTTCCCAAGGGACTACAGAGATGGCTCAGTGATTAAGAGCACTGGCTGCTCTTCCAGAGGACCCAGGTTCAGTTCCCAGCATCCGCTTGGTGGCTGACAACCATCTGTAACTCCAGTTTCAGAAGATCCAATGCCTTCTTCTGACCTCTGCAGGCATTGTATGATATAGGTGCATTTACATGCAGGCAAAACACTCATACACTAAATAAGTAAAGTAAAATGTAAACAATAGTTCCCCAAGTGTGCTGAGCTCCATATTTGCAGGTACTTTCCCAGGATGTGCTTTTCTACCCCTCAAGAATCCCATTTGCTCAAATATTCCTTCCTGAGAGAATCCTTTCCTGATCTCCTCACCCTAGACCTCTGGTTTAATTACCTTTGTTATTTATGCATTTCCTTTAGGACCTCCTCTTGTCATTATACTTTGAATTGTGCAGATAATTGATTAGTGTTCACTTTCTATGAACTCAGTATGTAAAAAGCTATGCTGGGTGATATATATAACCAACCCTAAGCACAACATTGGCTAGAGATTTAGGAGTCAGTAAGTACTGACTTAGATTCTGCGATATAACACAGAACTGAATGCCTAAGGGGTTGGACAGATGACTTACCAGTTAAGAGCGCTGGCTGCTCTTGCAGACGACCCAGGTTTAGTTTCCCACACACACATGGCAATTAACTGTAACTCCAGTTCTAGGAGATCCAATGCCCTCTTCTGGCTTCCACAGGCATTGCGTGTATGTGGTGTACTTACATATTTGCAAGCAAAATACTCATACACATAAAAGAAAAATAAATCTTTAAAAATTAAACAATTGAACATCTAATAAAGTGTAACTACTATGATGTTGGCATACAAATTTTAGCTACAGTTTTTAAAAGTCATATATATGAGGCATCTATTTTTCTGATAATTAACTAGGTCCCTTATCCTCTAAAGAGACAACCATTTATAACCTTGAAATGCCATACAGGAAGAGGATCCATTGCAAAGATGCTGTGAATAGGAGCAGAACTGCCAGTGTTGGCATCTAAAACTAGGAGTCATCTATAAGGTCATTGGAGTGACCCTCCAAGCTACCTGCTTGACACTATCCTCAACATTCCTACAGGGAACTAGAGTCTCAAGAATATGGTTGTATTCTCTCGTGCTAATTGTGCCAGCCTGCTGCAGCCACAGAGTAGCTGGAAGTAAGGATGGACTTGCTCACAAGAGATGGTCTTTGGCCTTGAGATCATTGGTTCATACTTTTATTCATTATGTTTCTGAGGTGCTGGGGCTCAAACCCAGGACCTCCCATGTGCTACATAAGCACTATACCACCAAGGTATTGCCCCTAGAACAGATTGGTTACTGCTTTTGGACTGCCTAGTCTAGTGAATTACAAAGAACTGCAGCTATTATTTGCATGCAAACCACTTGCTAAAAACTGAAAGTAAGATGCTTCTGATGGTTGGTGGCTCTGTGAGAAATAAAGGGTATGAGGGAAGAGCAGACACATGTGGATTCCAGCACATTCACACATGCAGAGGCACAGATACACAGTTTTGTTGTTTATAACCCACCTGGTTAGGTACTATGTGGAGTAAAATAAGATGCTTACTTATATGTAATTATTTTTTACTCCAAAATTGACTTTAAAATGTAAACCTATAATGCTAAGGCAATAGGGTTTTTTTTATCCTTTGTTTCAGTTTAAAGTACTTGATATAGGAAACAAGCTTGGGTGATTTTGAACATTAGTCATCATAACCTTGTATATTTGGATGGGCACATTTATGCTAATCCTCTAAGAAGTGCTATTGAATAGGACCAGGCCTGATGCTTTGTGACAGTTAACACTTTGTTCTTCAGAATTTATGCAAGTTTTCTTACTATACAAATAATACCAGAGGTGGTCATATCAGATTGCTAAGGAGTGTCTCCATCTCTCAGTTTCTCTGTGGACATGCCCTAGCTTGTTGTCAGTGGTTCTGGGTAAGGTTGAGTAACAAGAAGCCCTCAGAGAATAAGATGGTCACTCACTGGTTTTATGTACCAGTCACCCCAGTCTGCCACTCAGCATAATTACCTAATGAGGCTGCAGAACCAGCTTCTGAGTGAGCTAAGTCATCTGAATCTGAAGTCCAAGTTCAGAGAACAGCTCTAGCATGCTACCAGCACCATCTTGCTGCTTTGTTTGGACTCTGTACACATGCTCATGTTGAGGCAGCACATTATGGCTAGATAGTCAGGTTGTCTGGCTACCAGGAGTTGAGGAGGTAAGCCGGGGACCCCTGCAGATTGTAATGAAAGCCCGTACATGTTGCACAGTTTTTACACACTTCTGGGACTATGTGATGGTTAATACTGATGTCAGCTTGACAGGATCTAGACTCACCAAACAGACAAGCAGCTTCTGGGCATGCCTGTGAGAGATTATCTTGATAGGTTAATTGAGATAGGAAGACCCACCCTTACTGGGCAGCCCATTCCCTGGACTGGGACCCTGGACTGAACAGAAAGAAGAAATCTAGCTGAGCAGCAGCATTTGTTACTCCCTGCTTCTTGACTCAGATGTAATTGACCAGCTGACGCTCTGACCCTTCATGCTGAGCTCAGTCCTCAAACTGTGAATCCTAAAAGCCAGACTAAATGCTTCCTTTCCTAAGTTGCTTTTGTCAGGGTAATTTATCCAAGCAACAGGAAAAGTAACTAACATAAACTCCGTGCACACACATGAAAAACGCAGGTGAGATACTAATGGAGTCAGAGACCCTAGCCCTTGGCCTCTTTTCTGTTGGTATACAATGTGCCAAGATTGACGAAGAAGGCTTGTATGCTCCTTTTTCCTCCTCACTGGCAGACATGTGTTGGAGACCTCATAGTGCTAGTCCCAGCATTGATTTGTTTTGGGAATGAGGGCAGATGTATCTTTATCAGGCTGAGGGTCTTGATGACTGGACTCTTTATGCCCTTAGCCCAAGGCCTCCATCTGACCTGATTATACTAATACATAGGCCTCATAACAGAGACCTAGGCCTCAGGGAAGCCATAGTCTATTGAATACATAGCTCTACCTTCTACCACACCACAAGGAACTGAAGTTATGCCTGTCTTTGTAGGTGAATGTTGAGTTAAGACTATCAGGGAAAGTTGACCTTTCCAACCTTTCTAAAGATGATATATCACTCATCACATACCATAAGTGCACCCTTTTTGAAGTATAAACTTCAGTGTATTTTAGTAAGTTAACCAAGTTGTGCAACCTTAATATAAACTCAAGAATATTTTCATGGGCTGGAGAGATGGCTCAGTGATTACGAGTACTGGCTGCTCTTACAGAGGACCCACGTTTGATTACCAGCACCCACATAGCGGCTAACAATCATCTGTAACTCCAGTTCCAGGGGAATCCCAATTCCCTCTTCTAACCTCTGTGGGCATTGCACAACATAAGTGCACTTATGTACATGCAGACAATGCACTCATACACATAAAATAAAAATTTTTTTAAAAAAAGAATATTTTCACTACTCTAAGAAAAAAAACCCTGTACTCATTAGCTGCCACTCCCTTCCTTCTCCCCCTGTTCCTGGCAAGCAGTAGGCCACTAAACCTTTTTATATTACCTGGACGTTTCAAGTAAATATACTCATGAGCTGTTTATTCTTTTATATATGGCTTTTTCCACTTAGCTTAATGTCTTCAAAGCTCATCTAGGCTGTGTTGTAGCATATGTGAGGACTTCATTCCTTTGTATTGTTGAATAATAGTCCACGGTTTGAGTGTATTAGTCCATTCACCACGTGACACTATTTGAGTCATTTCTACTTTGTAGCTCTTATGAATAAATCTGCTATGAACATCATTTCTTGTAGGTATGTATTGGAAAGCTGTTTCAGAATAATATAAACATCATTAAACTGGAAGAGAGCTCCTTTTCATTATTCTTCCTGATTACTTCTAGTTCCCACTAGTAGCTGACTTGTTTCGTGATGATAAGGACCCTGCTCCTGCCACCAACATACCCGGAAAGGGATCATCTTCAAAGATCAACATTCGGTCTGCCAGAACCCCCATGAAGGTTTCCAACAAGGAACACAAGAAATCTGTGGGCTACCAGGTCAGTCCCAGTCCCAGGCCTGTTGCATATGTAAAAGGGCTGTCTTGGGGCAGGAGGAGGAAGAAGGAAGGGGACTTGATTCAGGTCTACAGACAGTGTGGGGAGGCAGGAGCTCAAATCTGAAGTGTGGAGCAGAGATTTAAATAAACCCAGGAACAGCCAACTTAAAAACCCCCATTACAGTATGCCTACAGTATGCTTTTATTCCTGTGGATTTGCTGCTTATGGATATTTTATACAAACCCTGTCATTTCTGGAATGTTACAGCTTTAGTCCCCACATTCAGGGATAGCAGGCTTCTAATGTATGGCAGGCAGATCTTTCATCTCTTAGCTCTCACTAGCCTTTCATCCCACTTTATGCCTCAGCACTGGAAGTTCGGCTTATTGGGGATTGTCTCCCCACATTTAGTTTGAAGAGTCCTACTGTGGAAAGGACTTGGTTTTATTCATAGCAAGGTAGGCGTATCAGCTAGAATTTGACCCTGGTCACTGAATTTCTCTCTTCCCTTATCCTTCTGGATTAACCATAATAATAATAGTAACTACTACTGTCACCATCAGTGCAGTAGTCATCACTGGTATGTTAGTTTTCTTTATTATGCATTCAGGAATATTAAAAATAAACAGCTAAGCTCCGGCTTTCATCCCTGCAGTTCCGCACCTCCCTAAACCTACTCATGGAGACCCTGAACGCCACAACGCCACACTATGTGCGCTGCATCAAGCCCAATGATGAGAAGCTCCCCTTCCAGTAAGTACCAGCCTTCTCGTCCTGCCTCAGGGTCAGCAAGAACAGGGATGCCTCAGCCTCGCTGGGCTCTACAGAGTTGCATGCTGACTGGTCATTCACTTCCTAGGTGAGCTATATGTGCTGAATACAAGCCAACAGGCATAGGCTGGGTTCTACCTGTCTGCTGGCCCAGATTTGAGAGAGATAAGGCAGTTGACTGTTCACTGGAGTATGCCACAGTATTGAGCAATGTGCATATTGGAATCAGTTAGAGAGCCGTGTAGAAGTGGACAAGGAAGCCCACATGTCAGTGGATGTTAAATTCAGGTAGGGGAGCGTTCCAAGAATAGTGAGAAAAGGCTTTTCTCACATGAAGAGCACCAGCCCTGAATTGGCACGTGGAAGGGTAGGACACACGGATGAATGGTCCCACTTCTCACGTGGGCAGTGCACATCCTAGTTACCTACCTTCCCCACTCCCCCTCACTCCTTAGCCACTGCCCTGCCTTGAGACTTTCCTTACAATTCTATCCATGCTCACATGACTGGTCTTACATGGATCCCTGTAACACTGCCTTTTATTTACCTCAGTTCATCTTTGGATTCTGCCAAATTCCAGAGTAGCATTCCCATATGCCTGCTACAGCTTTCTTGGCCAACCCACAGTCAACATGTGTGATACTAAATTCATATTTTCCTTCCCAACTGGTTCCTCTTTCTTTGTCCTCTGTTCTAATAAATGACATAACTATTCCTGACATGTCACCCCCCCCCTGCAAGATGTGTTCTTCCAAGCTAGAAGCCTGAGAGTCATTCTGGATCAGTACCCAGCAGGCCTTTCTGTGATGATGAGGGTGTTCTGTAGTTGGTGCCATGCAATGCAGCAGTTGGTGCATAGAATGCGGGTGATGGAAAAACTGAGGTTCTGGGTTCATTTCAGTTGATCTCAAGTACAGACAGGCAGCTCGTGGCTCCATATTGGGTAACATTCGCCCCTGATTCCCCACCTTCCTCACTCCCAGCATATGCTGTCATTGTCAAAGCCCCCTGGAGTCCACATGAAAATGTGACATGTCAGCCTCCCTCGTCTCTTTCTTCTCCATCACTTCATTCCAATCCTCTTTACTACTTTTTTTTTCGTTTTAATAATTAAGGATTAGTGTGATTTTGTAGTGATGCATATAGGGTGCACTGCTTAATTCCAGCTTCCCTTTATCCACCTGTCTCCCTCCCCATGTTCACTCTTATATGTGGAAGTTACGATATCAACCTTAGTGTAAGACTGATTGCCAGACCCCCATCATTCTTACCTGGAATACTGCCCTACCTTTGACATAACAGGCCTCCCTGAATGTCATTCCCTCTAGTCAGGGAGGATGCTTTAAAAAAAAAAAAAAAAAAACTTTTTTAATCACCTTACATCCATCTTTCCTTTCCAGATTTCCTTTCTGGTCCTAGCATAACTTCTTACTGTGAAAGCATTTCTTATGATAACTCCAATTTAGGTACACATTGGAGCTAATGCAATTCCTCTCCTTCAGTGCAGCTGGACTTCCACTCCACAGACCTCATGGTAAAAGAGGGCAGGGAGACACTATCAAGCCAGCCTTCTTTAAGCATGCTGTTTGCATACTCTCTTCCCTTCCTACACATTTCTGAGACATACTTAGGAATCCTTCTGCATTATATCTGCTGACTATGGAAGGAGCTGGTGGAGGGGCAATGTGTGTGAAAGATTGTGTGTGAAGGGCAGAGTAGCATGTAGGGCCTAGATGAAGAGAGACAGGATTTGGTACCTGTCCCCGCTGATCCCCCACCCAGCCATTCCTGACCCTCAGTAGTTTATTCAGCAAAGCCTGATACCCACCAGATGCAAGGTGGTCTGCAGGCCATACCATCTCCTAAAAGGAGAAAAAGGAGAAAATTAGCTGAAGGGAGGGAGGGAGGGAGGGAGGGAGGGAGAGAGAGAGAGAGAGACTGAGACTGAAAGAGACCAACAGATGGAGACTAAAAAACACACAGAGAGACCAAGACAAAAAACCTGAATTGGCCGGGTGTGGTGGCGCACACCTTTAATCCCAGCACTCTAGAGGCAGAGGCAGGAAGATCTTGGTGAGTTCAAGGGCAGCCTGGTCTACATAGTGAATTCCAGGACAGCTGGGGCTACAGGGGGACCCTGTCTCAAAAAGACCAAAAACAAAACAAAAAAACCTGAATTGTAATCTAGGCTCATAATTGGCTGGTGCCAAGCTAATCTTTTTCTGTCTTTGTCTGTCAATTGTGACTTTAAAATACTCTGATCTAAATTATACAAGCTGGAGGACTGGAGAGATGGCTCAAAGATCAAGAGCACTGGCTAGTCTGGCAAAGGACCAGGATTCAGTTCTCTGCACCCACATGGCAGCTAACAACCATCTGTAGCTCCAGTTCTCTTCTGGACTTCACAGGTAGTATATGCATGTGGTACACCTACATACACTCAAGCAAAACACTCATACACATAAAATAAAAATAAATAAAAATTTAAAAACAAAGAGATAATGAAGGGAAATTATTAATGAGAAGTATAAAATTTTATGTGATTAAAATATATTGTTATTAGAGGAAGAGGAGATAATTTAGTCAGTAAAGTACTTGCCTCATAAGCAAGAAGACCTGAATTTGATCCCCAGATGTTAAAGCTGTTCATAGTAATGGATGCTTGTATTCCCAGTACTGGGGAGGTGGGAACAAACATTTCCCTGGAACTCACTGGTCAGCCAAGCTAGCCTAATCAGCAAGCCTTGGGCCAGTAGAGAACCCTGTATCATAAGACAACATGGATAGCACCTGAGGAACAACAACCAAGATTGACTTCTGTCCTCCATGTGTACCCACACATGTATGTGTGCACACATGCACAGATGCTACATAGATATATATTGATATAAATTATTGACAGTATTCCAGAAGGAGATTGCTGTATTCCCCCTCTCATTCTCTATGATCAGTTTCTCAACCAAAGCTCATTCACATTGGGATCATATAATTCTTTGTCTTGAGCGAGCGTCCTGAACATTGCAGCATGGTTAGAAGCATCACCAGCTCTACCTGCCAGATGCTAGTGGCATCTGGTGTGATGACTAACATTTTTAGATATTTCCAAGTGTTGGCCTGGAGGGGGGCAGCGTGGCCCCATTAAAAAATGCTGTCCCACACAGATTCTTTTCTTTCATTTTTATTGAATTTTTGCACATTTTTAAAGTATTTTATTTATTATTTTTATTTTATGTGTATGAGTGTATTGCCTGCATGTATGTGAGTGCACCCATGTCGTG